TGCCTGGCTCTCCAAGTGCGAGCCGTGTTCTTTTCCACACCCGGGTCTCCTGGACGTACAGCGGAACCCAGCCCCTCTGTGGACTGGGGTCCTCTGCAGCATTCTGGCCTCCAGGTCTCCCCAGCCCCATACCTGCTGTTGACAGGCTTCTTCTCCGGCCGGGACTCCTGGCCCTGTGTTCAGCGACCTGGAACACAGCTGGGCCCAGAACAGGGCACGTCTCACTGCTGTCCTGGGATCACAGGGCAATGGGGTCACCAGTGGAAAGGGGGCAAAGATGGTGGGAACTTGGGGGGATTTCTCAAGCTCTGTAACTTCCCCATCTGGTTATTTTGTAAACCCAACCGCTTCCCCAAAGTAACCCCCAGACACACCCACAGAAAAGAGAAGCCTTTGAGCTGCTTTTTTTGTATCTGATCTGTTTTTGGATTTGGTCATTAACATAATAATGTTAATGCTTGATCCACCACTTGGCTACGAGCCAGGCACTGGGCCAGGCCCCAAGAGCCTTCTAGAGCAGGGACGGTCTTTGCAGAGAAGGCACCAAGGCAGGAGCTCCTACCTTGTAACTAGCCAAGGTCACACAGCAGGCACCCTTCCTGTGTACCCCTCTCTAAAGTGAATTTGTGCAGGTGTGTGTCTGTAACCCTGGAAATCTGTCCTCTGTGGACCCAGACAGACTTCCAGCAGGAGCGTGTCCCCATTGCAGGAATGAGAAAACAGGCTATGGCTTCCTTCAGCTGAGCCTGATTGTGCAATTCCTCCCAGCAGGCCCTGGGTCCCACCCTGGGGCTCACACCCAGTCCCTGAAGAGCTGACCAGCAAATCACAGAAAGTCCGATGCTGGGAGGAGCACCTTAGGGCATCTGGAAGTTTCCTAGAGATTTTGCTTGGGCTGAGTCCAAAGGCTGAGCTGGGATGAGCCAGGCTATCATAGGGAGAGGGGAGGGCCAGCAGTGGGGACAAAGCCTGGCTGAGGGTGGGGGATGGATGCCAGTCCAGCCAGTGTGGGCTGGGCAGAGGATGGGGGGGTCTGCCTGGGGAGGGGCTCAGGGTTCAGGAAAGGTCTATTCTGGCCAGGCCATGGGCATGAACTCTCCCAGTGCCAGGGCTGCAGAACTCTGTTAATTTGAAATTTGTTTCTTTGTATCCTTTTCCTGAAACATGACTCTATTGTTTAAGCTTTAGACTCCCCCAAACCTGGACCCACATTCTTCTGAGGGTTGAAAGATGGGGGACCCTGCTGGGGGGTGGCGGTGGGGAAATGCAGGAAGCAGAGCCATGAAGGGTGGAGTGACAGGGCTGCCAGCCCAGAGAGTGATTCAGGCAGGGGGTGCCCCTGGATTTGGGTGGAGGCGGGTCCTGATCCCACTCCTGGGGAAGGAGGACTCAGCTGTGCCTGGCTGAGGGGAACCGAGTGAACCAAGGCTGCCCAGCACCCAAAAGGGGAGGTGGCTAGGACTCGACGAGCCTCCCTGTGGAGGAGCTGAGTGTCTCAGGCTATCCAGAGGTCGTCTCGTCCACCCCCCCAGCTCTGGCCTCCAGCCAGCATGCCTTGGACAAGCCAGCCCTTCCTGTCCTGCCTTACGTGGCCCTCCCCAGGGGCCAGTGTCCGGAATTGCGCACTTGGGAGTCTCTGGGATGCCCCCGCCCCCATACTTCTCAGCAGGGTGCTGGGGGAAGGGCACGCCCCCGGGAGGGTGGGGATCCCTGATGGCGAAGCCCAGTAAGCAGCCCCTGCCCCAGCACCTCGCGCGCATGTGGGACTCTGGATCCTCACAAGGTCTCTAGGAGCAGGCGATTTTCTTCTTGAGATTTCCACACAGCGAATCTAGAGAAGACAAGTAACTTGCCAAAGATCACACAGCTAGGATGAGAAGGGGAAGCATTTGGCTTTGGCTCTGGCAAGGACTCCGGCAGGACTCCAGGAGTGGGGACCCTCGCGGGGGAGACAGAGCTGGGTGGGGGATAAGGTGAAGAGGTCTGGTGGGCCAGATAAAGTGGTGGGAGAGGAGTCGGGGGAGACAGGTGGGGGTGGGGCAACCCCCCCACACATTAGGAGGAGGACCACAGGGGCGGGCAGGAGGCTATGTAGAGGGTCAGGCTTTGGGGATTGTGGGGACAGAGGGAAACCCGTGCCTGGGGAGGCTGGACACAGCGAGGGGACCTGCGCACCGTGTGCTGCAGGAAGAAGAGACTGGACCTCGGAGCGCAGGTACCAAGTGCCAGTGGTCCTAGAGGTCACTGCAGTTCATGTCCAGCTGCTGAGGGCTCCGTGCTGAGCGTGGACGCCACACCTGTGACAGGTGTGCCCACCAGAGCTGGCTGGTACCTTGGACACGAGCGGGGGAGGCTGCAGGGGAGGCTGGAGGAAGGAAGGGACAAAGGCTGGTACCTGGAGGGGAGGTGGGGCGAGAGGCAAGATGTCTCCTCCCAGGGGCATCCAGGCTTGTGCCTGGTTTGAAGTCCGAGGTTCACACAGGGCAGCATGGTGCGGGAGACCTTTCGCTCAACACCTCTGCTGGCTGTTCCCAGTGCTCCTGCGGACGCCTACATTCAGTGATCATTTTGCTGAGAAAGTTGACAGTAGTCTTGAGGCCAGCAGACGGCTTTGTGAGCTCCCCTGGCCCTGGGTGGGGGAGCAGGAGACAGACTGGGTGCCAGGCCTGGGCACTGAAGGGAGCCTGGCTGAGACCTGTGCCCACCCCCAGGGTGAGCCAACGGCAGGTGTGCCCCCCCGCCCCCCAGGACTCGGGCTGCCAGCCCAGGGAGCACCTTCAACTCCCTCTAGCATTTAGCACGACTGCTGGCAAGGTTAAAATCTGCAAAAAACAGATTTACTTCAGAGAGAAGTGGGGGAGGTGGAAGCCAGGAAAATGCACTGTTCAGGCTGTCAGTCACCAGGAGATGCGCTGAGCCCTGGCAGAAACACCCGGGCGCCCCCGCTGAGGTGCTCGTCCTGCTCACCCAACTGGCGAGCAGAGCCCGGGGGCCCCCGTGGCTTTTCCTGGTGACTGGAGACGAGGGTCAGCAGAGTGCTTCCCTTGCTTATGGAGAAGTGCCAGCGCCTGTCTCACCCATGAAAATCACCAAGTGATCTTTCATAACCTTACAGGACGTCTAAGACTAAGGAAAATTGCGTCCTTCGGCGAGAAGGCAGGGCTGGGGGCCAGGGAGGAGGCTGAATGAGTCCCGGACAGGCACTCAAGTCTGTCTCGTGTGTGGCCGATGCTCATTTTTTCTGACGCTATGTTCTTTTCATTCAGACTCCGGTGAAACACATTTGATCAGAAGGAAAGGTGTCTCTGGAGTAATGTTCTCAGTATCTTGGGGAGGGAGGAGGAAGGGCAGGCCAGCTGTGGGGACACAGGCTCAGAGGAGGGGACGGAGGGAGAACAGCCCCTCGGGAGCCCACGGGCAGAGATGAGAAGACATCACCCTGGTGGTGACAGGTGGCCAGGGCTGCCAGGACCCTGCTGCTCTGCAGGTCCATGTGAGGACCTGCCGCCCCGTCCTTGGATTCTCCACGGTGGGGACAGGCGGGTGGGCAGCTGGGGTGGGCGAGGGCACTGCGCACACGACCAGGTCACTGGACCTGCCCGGCAGGGCGGCTGCTTCGTACACCGAACGGCCCCACAAACGAGCAGCCACACCAGAGCCCTCATGTCAAACTGCTTTATTACACCTTAAATAACAGCACAGTTGAGCACAGGGTCTATCTTGCGTCCAGCTTCCTTGCAGTACACTGGCTTGAGAATTAAATACAAAAGATGGAGAGACAGGGTGCAGAGAGCTCTACAGAGGCGCCGACGGGGAGGGGCTTGCCTCGCTCCGCAGGCCCAGGCCGAGCGCGGCCTCGGCACCAGGTGCCACACACACAGGCTGGGGGAGCCGCCGCTGCTGCTAAGGAGCGCGGGCGCAGGAGGAGGCGGCTGCTGGGCCAATGCTGCCGCTCACGCCGGGCCGCGTGCCCGGGGCCTGCTGTTAGAGATGCCGGGCTCGGGGCGGAAGGCCGGTCCCGCGGGAGGGCCGGCATGCGGCGGTCACGGGGAGGGAGGCCAGGGTCTCCAGTCCCTGCCCGTCCGCCCCCACCCGACAGCGGCCATTTGGAATGGGACTTGTTTTTGAAGAATTAAAGACAGTGACTCGTCCTGCGACTCGAGCATGTGGAGCCGCGACTGCACGGCTTCCGAGGCGCTGTGCGGGAGCAGCAGCAGTGGACGGACCTCGACGGCTACCACTTTAAAGAGGTTATTTCTTAAAAGAAAAAGAACATCTAAGGACTGAGTCCTGTGTGCACTTTTGAGCATTTCTACAGCATGCGATTCTAAGAGTAAACCCACCCAATATGGCAAACGATCAAATTTTTTAAAATTTAACTTAGAAAGTTTGAGATTATTTGCAAAACATTGATTTGTACGCTGTTTCATACACAAATAACTGACTGACTATCCAAGCACAGGACGGGCTCTCTGGGAAATGGAGGCTCCTGATGGGGAGCGGGGGGCACAGGATAGTGTTGCGCTGTTGTTACAAATTTCCCTCCGACTTCACAAGGAGACCCAAAGTGAGATTAAAAACTGGACTGAGAAGGTAGACAGGGCAGATCGGGGAAGAAACAGGGCCTGACTGGTGTTCACTGTCCACCACGCGTTCGAGACCGTCCACAGTGTCATCCTTCTGGGCCAGGTGTGTGCGCAACAATTATGTGACACCAGACGAAAAATTAAAAAACTGGGGACTAGATTTACATTGTTAACAATGTCAGAGAGGCTGCATGAGACGCTCTGTCTCCGGTTAACTACTGAACATAAAGGAATATACTTTAAGAAGGAAATATGAATGTTTGCAAAATCCTGTTACAAACACAATCTGAACTTGAGACTCAGTTACAAGATGACACCCGCAGCTGGTTTTGCACGAACGGCACAAACCAGGATCGCAGATCTAGACTTCAGTCCACTAGGTAGAGGGGCGTCTGTCTCACAATTACACTCACGTTACCTTCTGATTAACATTTTTATTATAGTATTTCCTTTTAAATTCATTCAAGACAAAAAAGAAAAGGAAACAGAGACAGTGGTCCCGGCGGGAATGCACGACTTGTTTAGTTTACAGCACAGACTCTTCTCTTAATGGGAATTGTGCTCTTGGTTTCAGCAATAAGTGAAGGGGAGAGATCTTGCCCTTTTGAAGTTCTGGGGGCGGTGCAGGGCGTCCACGTTAGTAGGGGTTGAAATGCCATCACGGACGCTCCAGGTTGGAATGCTCTTCCAGTCACCACGGCGTCCTCCTGCTGCTTTAAACAGAAAGACAAGAGAGGCTAGTCAGCGTCACTGCTCCTCCCGAGCTCCTTCCATCCGCAGTGGGGCCGCACTCAGGGCGATGGGAACGCTGACCTTCCCACCGCTCCACATGACGACTCGTCAATCAGTCGAGAGACCCTGCGCCCCAGTTTCCTGCATGTCACGAGGGCTGCACACAGGGCGGTTGTTACCTGGCAGGGGCGTCAGTTCCAGATCTTGAGGAAGCTGTCCCAGGACCCCGTTGCCACGGCCATCCCGTCATCGGTCACTCCCAGGCAGCTGACGCGGTTGTCATGTCCCGCCAAGACACCTGGGGGCCAAAAACAGCACTGTCACCTGGCTGAGCGACCGACCACCCAGTGGCCAGGAAAGGTCACCGGGAAGGAGAGGAGGTCTGCTCAGGGGGACGTCAAAGGGAAGCGCACCGCGGCCATGGCTGAGGGAGCACGGGCCGGAGTGGAAGAGGGCCTGCCGAGGACCTGGTCCGGGGCCTGTCATCGAGACAGCCTGATGACAAGGAGCAGGCGCAGCGGGAAGGCACGCTCGCGCACCCGCCTGGAGCCTCCGGCACCCACTCCCAAGCACTCCTGGTGGGAGAAAGCTTAACTAAAAGCTGCGACAGAGACCACGACAGAGACACCCCAGCCGGCCCCGATCCAGGTCAGCGCAACGTGGGAGTAAGTCTGCTCCTCACTTGTCTGAGGGGCCCACGCACAGAGGGCTGCTGACGGACACCGCCTTCGGGATGTCACACGGCGACCCCACCCTGGGACGGGGCCTCCTGCTGACACTCAGTGGTCAGGAAAGCTCAGCCAGAACTTTCCACGTCTTCTCAGAGCAACACGCGGGCTGGTTTCAGGGAAGCCTAGGGAAGCTCGTCCACCTCCCACACTCATTAGCGTCACAGCTGAGGACCGGGACCAGCCTCGGCTGGATGGAACGGCGTCCTCTGCTCCTGGCCTCGCCGACCGCATGGCCCTGAGCTGCGGCATGAGCCTGGCCTGTCGGGGCAGAGGCAGCGGGAGCTGGGGGTGTGATGGGCTGGGAGAGGGCAAGATGGGCTCAGCCCAGAGCAGAGGGAGGCCAGCCTAGAGGCATCGATTGCGCACATGTGTCAGTGCTGGACGGCCTCACCTCCCGCATGACTGTGTTCTAATGCCCTTGGGACCATGCACCTCACGCCTGCCTCTCACATGCGAGCTTCAGACTGCTTCCTGGGCCAAACCTGGCCGAGCTTGTGCCCCAACATGGACACGGCGGCCACCCACCTGCCCGGTCGGCCTTGAGCGCGTCCCAGACGTTGCAGTTGAAGTCGTCGTACCCGGCGAGCAGGAGGCGGCCGCTCTTGGAGAAGGAGACGGACGTGATCCCGCAGATGATGTTGTCGTGCGAGTAGGTCATGAGCTCCTGGTCTGCGCGCAGATCAAACAGCCTACAGGTGGCGTCATCCGAGCCAGTGGCAAAGGCGTTGCCATTCGGGAAGAACTGGGGAGAGAGCGCAAGCTGAGACAGTGCGGGTGCAGGGAGAAATCCTGTGAACACGGCTCCTGCTGGCCCAGGAGACAAGGAAGGAGGACTGGCCGGGCTCGGCAGGACTGAGGCTCAGCGCAGGCGGAGAGGGATCAGAGACCAGAGGTGAGCGCCCTGTGCCAGGGCTAGCGCCGGAGGGCCTGTCATCCCTCCATCCCAGTCCTCTTCCCAAAGGACAGTGTGGTCATCACCGTGGGGCTGTGCTTCCCCGCAGGACACTCACAAGGCCAAGCCCCTTGAGTCAGGGTGACACAGAGAAGGGAAGGCTCCTTCAACCAGCTGTGCCCCAACCGCGAAGGGTGGGGGACACAGGCCTGGCTCAAGGGTCAGCGCCCTCCGCAGAGGCTGTGCTGGGTGAGTTACTGCTCTGTCCGCCCCCAGCCCAAGGGAGGGACCCGAGGGAAGGACAAGACACCCATCACTGGCGCGACCTGCGCCAGCACAGCAGAGGCACCACAGTGTTGGTGAGCTGCAGTCAGCACGGAAACGGCTGGCTTCTCAAGGACACAGCACCTCACACCTGTTGCCTGAAGAGAGTTTCTGTAAATTACAGGGTGTTCGCACAGAGAAGAGAGGACATCTCATTCTGAAGAACATCCTGCGGCTCACAGATGTCACCTAACTTGCTGACAGGGTGAAGGGCCCCCAGCCCCAGGCCAAGACCCCAACTCACACAGATGGCGTTGATGTCGGACTCGTGGCCGGTGAAGGTCTGCCGGCACATCCCTTCTCGCACGTCCCAGAGTTTGGCTGAAGCGTCGCAAGCACCAGAGACAAAGAGTCTGCTGTCCGGAGCGAGAGAAAGGCTCATAACGTCCCCAGTGTGTCCAGTAAACGTGGTCGTCTGCTGGCCGGTCTCGATGTCCCACAGAGCGCTGGAGCAGGAGCAACCAGAGTCGTCACGGGACAGACCGCCCTCAAACCACCCGGCCCTGTAAACCTCTGCCCTGCACTCAGGACCAGTCTACGCTCTGTGACGCGGCTCTGTGCACAGAGCTGGGCAGAGCAAAGTACAGGTGAGGACATGCCCACAGGCCTCACTGTTAACTCTGTCTCCGTCCACTCCAACGCCAGCAAGAGGGGAGCCCGGGTCCCTTTCAAGCAGGGACACTGGGGGGCTGTGCCTCTGTGACCTGTGCGGGTCATGGAGGGCAGCAGGAGGCCCCTGGCTCACGCCCCAGATGGGACAGAAGATGCATTCTGTCTGCTGCGGCCAGCTCTGTGACACAGGGGACGACAGGGACAGTGCCAGCGACAGTGACTGTGTCCCACGGCCCCTCCTCGGACAGGCAGACAGGAGGGCAGCTAGCGCTTGAGGAGGAGAGCTGAGCCCAGTGCCCCATGGCCGTCAGCCTCTGCGGTTACTTGGGGGAGTTGAAGGTGGGACGCCTGAGCCCTGAGCACAGCGGGCGCTGTGTCTGTGAAACTGCTGGCTGCATTTCAGCCTGGCAACCCAAATCCCAGCAAGCAGGGCCTCATTAGGGCCTGCGGACTACAAAAAGCCAGACAGTTCCAGACTCTGAAAAACATCATTCATAAATGAAAACACTTTAAAAAATATGTTCTATCAAAGAAACTCTTCCCAAATTGACAGTCTAGATAGACTAAGTCTTTTGTGAATCTATGCACATGTACAAAAAGGACCACTCATAAAACAGGGCAACTTGGATAAAGGAGACAGGACCTGGCCCAAGGCAGCCCCGCCCCGCCCCTCCCCCAATGTGATGGGGCATCTGAGCCACCACATCATGCCTTAGAAGACCAGAAAACCCACAGGGACAGTTTAAGTCTAAAATGACTCAACCACCTGACATTTAAATGACATGCTTTGGTGCCATAAGTGAAAACTCAAGAGTTTCAGTGATCTTCTCTCTATAAGGAAAGTGAAACTCTAAAAATTAAGTAGTTTGATATAATTCATGTGAAATTGTGACACCTGCTATTTCTAAGCTGTCACAGCGTCCGCAGTGAGACCTGCTCTCCTAAGAGGGGGACCAGGGCACACCCACTCCCCCAAAGGGCTATTAAACACCACCTGAACAGGTGGGATGTGCAGGGAAAAAGAAAAGCCGGCACATCATGCACAGCGGTAGTCTCAGTGTCTGTAAACCAGTTCTACCTTGTTCAGAATTGAACTCTGAGCTTTAAAATCGCTCAGAGCATAATGAAGTCACCCATCACCCACTGCCACCCATGTTTCAAGTCTAGTGGCCATTTTCAGTTAAAACGGCCTGATTAAGGTGGAGAGTCTGATTTCCAGATGTCATGCACTCTGGGGCGAGGCGAGCAGCGTGAGAGAGGGTGGCACCTGGCACTCACCAGGTGGTGTCTCCAGAGCTGGTGACGATCTGATTGTCGTCCAGGAAACGGCAGCAGGACAGGTAACCTGGAAAACAGCCCCAGATGACGTCTCCAGCCAGCGAGCCCCGCTCTGGGGTCTCACCAATGGAAAGCACGGTGGGAGAGTGACTGAGCTCGTGAGTCCTGTGGCCGGGTACAGAGCAGAGCAGCTGTCAACCGCATCACGGGGCGAGAACCGGGGCCCGGACTCCATACGCAGAGGCCCTCGCAGCACAGCGCCCGCGGCACAGGGAGGGCAGCAAGTTCGGGGAGCGCACACCCTCCTCTACCCGGCCCCCCAGCACGCCGGGCAGCAGCACTCTGGACCCGGACACATCCGTAAGCAAAGGGGGTGAGCACAGAGAGCAGGCACGTACTGTCCGGGAGGAGGAGGGCAGGGCGGCCCACGGAGGTCTCCCGAGCCTCCCAGGGGCTTGGCCAGAATGGAGGGCGGTCCACGGGCGGTTGCAATGGCAAAAACATCAGTGTGGAAGCAGTTGTGTGGCCACAGCGCATGGGAGGGGAGCCCAGCCCCGACCGGCCTTTGGAATGGGGCGGGGGAAGGCCAACAGCTCCACAGCACCTGCTCGGGAGCTCCACTTAGCCAGCCCTGCTCACCATGACCCCTGCTGCCCCTGGGTCAGTGACCCTGGGAGTGGCAGGTGCAGGGCAAGCACAGCTGGCCCCGGAAGGCCTGGGGCTTCCCGGAACAGTGGGGAGTGGCCCTGACCTGGGCTGGCCAGGCTCCTGCTACGCGTGCCCATTTCCCGAAGCCTCTCTTCCCAGCCCACGCCAGAGCCACGTGTGACGCTGTGCAAACAAACAGGAAACCCACTGAAGGGTGTATGGGGAAAGGGTAAGCATACAGAGAAAGTAAAACATTTATCTAACGAGTATTACTATACTGCCTCCCATAAAAAACACACCTAGAAATGACAACCTTCAGAATATCAACGTGTGCCCAGAAGAGGGCATGAGGTCGAGTGCTTCCTGGAGGCCATGCCCCGGCCACGGGACCCTGGGCACCATGTGGCCAATGCCCAGCGGGAGAGGAGTGGCCGGGGCCGCAAGGTCGTGGACGACAAGCCCCCACTCCGCGTGTGCGCACCCCAAGGGGCTCCCCCCCCAGGGTCCTGAGCTCCCTGCCTGCTGAGTCCCAGCCCGAGGGCCTGACCAACCACAGCACTCACTCCCTGGCACTCTGCTCATGTCAGTTTCACCATCCCCTCCAGGAACCAGCCCTGGGCACCCGACCCCATCTGGTGGGTGCCCATCAGACAGGCCCAGGGACTCTCATACTCGCCATCCTAGCGCCAGCCCGTCTGACCCGGGAGCACAGCAAAGACAGGAAGGAGGCTCCCGGAGACCCCAGCCCACAGGCTCCTCACAGGACCAATTAGGGCACTCCAGGGTCGACTGCACAAAGAAACATGGCCTCAACGACGCCCTCTGTGCAGGTGGTGGTCCAGCCACGTGGGCCCCAGGAACCAGAGAGCCAGCACCCGGTGGTGCTGGTGGTGCTGGAGGCTCTTTCGGCCCCGGGTGACCAGCGCACGTCAGCCGACCCCCTGGAAGCGGGGAGGCTACAGGAGACGACTGCGTTTACAAAGCCACAAATGGTCCTGGAATCATAACGCTGTTAGGACCCAATGATCCACGCCCATGAAGAGGAGGAGTGGGGCAGAGGCGTCGCAGGGTTCCTGGGGGACTGGATGGCACAGGCGGTTTGGCTTCTAATTCCTGACTCTTCCATGACTCTGAGCTCTGAAACACACACAGCCGGCCTGAGCAGTGCAGGGGGGTTAAGAGCGCTGGCCTCCGAGAGGTTGAAAAGCCCCGAGTGACTCAGCTGGCCCTCGGTAAGCTCAGCACCTCCGCGTCCTCGGGTTCAGCCAACCATGGATCGAGCAGTGCTGTGTTTAGGGAGAAATGTCCACGTGGAAGTGCACCGATGCAGTTCAGACCCGTGCTGCTCAAGGGTCAGCTTTACATAAGTATTACTTTCAATTAAAGAGCCAGGGCTGCTAGCGCATAATCTTATAACTCATTTTTTGGGTCCTTTTGCATTTTGTAAGTTGAGGGTAAAAGACAATAACCAGTTAGAGATTATAATTTTTACGAAAACTTTTTTCCTCCCAGAAAGAAAATGTGGAAACCAACTTTCACGTTAGGTTAACAGCCAAGTACTGGGCGTCAGTGCTGCGCAGCCTGAGACGGGAGCCCTCAGACACGAACGCCGAGCTGTCCAGCCCGGTGGGCACGGCCGCCAGGCCCGCGTGCTACATGTCCCGGGAGGCCGGCAGCGCTCCGTGCGCACGGATGCCAGCAAGGGGTGCCCAGCCTCCAGGGCCGTTCTGCCTGGGAGGCAGGAGACGGCTTCAGAATGGGCCCTGAAGTCAGAACCACCTGGGCTCTGTGCTCAACCAGACACTAACCAGCAGTGAGAGTTCCTGCAGGCTCTCCCCTGAGACCCAGTCTCCCCAGATTAACTGGCGATGGTTCTGGAGAAGGGGCAGAGCTGCCTGTGCATCCACGCTCCCAGTACAGGGCGGTGGGCCACTGCCTCTGTCATCATGGAAGAATGAGCAACTTCCCTGAAGGGACTCTGCGCGTGTGTGACCTCGGCTGAAGACCACCGCCTCCCAGGGGCAGGGCTCTGTGCTATAGGGTGGCCGGCCTGGCGGGCTGCTGCCTTTCAAGTGTCCAGAGGGGCAGGAAAGAGACCGTGACAGAAGTGGGCACCAAGTGTGGAGGTGCCAGGCCTCACAGAGACCACAAGTAGCAGTGGCAAGGTGGGCTGGGGACAGCCTGGCACAGGGACGACGCTACAATGTCCAGAGGAAGGAGGAGGCCTGAGGGGAGGCAGGGCGCAGGCTCTCAGGGCAAGGACCCCAGTCGGGGCGGGGGGCACTATCAGGAGGTGTCTTGTCCTGAGGATGGAGCGAGGCATCAGGGTGGGAGCCTGGTTCCTAGAGGCAGGCACACTTACCTCCTGACTGGGAGCAGCTGTTGACCCAAGAGGGCTGAAATCAAACAGCTCCACTAAAGCAACTCACCCCCAGATAGTGGTGAGGGCCTGGGAGCTCGCTCACCTACAAGAACACTACTTACTGCCACAGTGTTTGTACTAACGACCAACTGGGAACGGCCTAAATGGCCAACTACAGAGACAAGTCAGCACGCCATACAACGGAAGCCTCCTCAGCTCTCGGAATGACCTTGTAGCTCCAGGTGGGATCAGAGGTTAAAGACACAGAAGAAGATAACTGAGAGTTATTTCCCCAAATTCCTACAGGGAAAGGCACTGGTATTTCAGCCCAGGCACCGTGGAGGGCAGTGGGGCGCCGGGCTGTCCACGAGGCTGCGGTGGCCGCCACTCCCGGGGAGCAAAGTCTGTCCTGCTCTGGGAAGGAAGGAGTTTTCGGCCTACAACTGGAGGAAGAGCTGCCCGCCCCACGCAGAGGTGCACACAGGGGCAGCAGGACACGTTCTCTGAGAAGTTAGGTGAAAAGAGAACGCGGTACCCCGAGGGTCTCAAAGTGAGGAAAATAAGCAACAGCTTTATCAGGAGAAAGGAGCCTTGCAACACCCCAGAGACAAACTTATAAAATGCTGATGGCAAAAGATGAAATCAGATGCAAACAGAAGAGGGCCAGGAGTTTAGTCCATTCACAAGGCTGCGTGGCCTCGTCCTCTCGGCCTCGGAGGTCGGCAGAGCTCACCGCCACCTCAGGATGGTCTGAGGTCTGGACCCAGGCTGGGGTGGATGTGGGACCCACAGTCGTTCAAAGGGAGGCCAGCGAGGATGCACGGCAACCCTGGAAAAGGGTTCTCTCTGTTCCAGGGCTGCTTTGCCTGCGAGGTGGAGAGGACGCTCGGGAGCTGGCGGAAGGGAAGCCGAGGGGCGGGCAGGCGGGCACTCTGTGCGGAGGGCGGCAGGCCCCCAGCCCCGGGCAGTCCGGGAGATCAGTGAGCAGTGGGATCTGAAGTTCCCAGACTGTGACCACAAAACACCTAAAACGGATGTCATGTTAGACTAACTGCCAAAGAACAGGGCACCAGAGAGTGGCCCAGCTGTACTTCCGGGGGCAGATGGAAGGGACCACTCTCCTCCTGTGCTCGAGTCCGCTGGTGCCTGTCGGAGGAGAGCAGCTCGCAGGCAGTGGGTCCGACCCACGGGGCTCTCATAGGGCTTTCACGTTCAGCCCAGCAGCAGGAACACCTGTCCTAGGAAACACGGCTCCAGCCCCCACAGCAGGTTCCTGAGCAGCGAGGCCATGCGGCCCCTGGGAGGCCCCCAGCTCAACCCTCGGCCACGGCGGCCTCAGAAGGGGAAGCGTGTCTGCACTGCGATGGGAGGGCTGGGAAAGGAGACCTCTAAGAGCAAGTGTCCAGCTTTTGCTCTGGGAACAGTCTGCGAGACCGGGCCTGACACTCTCGTCAGAAACGAACACTAGGAAATTACTAATTCCTCAAATGTATACTCTAGTGCCTTAGTGACCAGTGCTTTCACCAAACCAGCACCCGGACAGCCCCGTTCTCTAAGTAGAACAGTCGCAACAACAACAAAGGCCCCGCGCGGTCTCCGTGGACTCACCCGACTCGCCGTCCGGGGCGTCCTTCACTCTGTGAGACACATGTAAAGGCAAGACACCAACAAGACAGAAGGCCGTCTCGTGTCTTCTCTCCCAAGTATTTCCACAGCCTGGGGGCCGACTCTAGAGAAAGAAGCTTCTGTTTGTTCCACACGGGCCCTTACACTTGAACAGAAAGCGGACCGCCGGGATCTCAGGCCTGAGGCTGACCGCAGAGACCGGTCCCCTCCCACCGACAGACACGGCTGCGCTCAGCTCGCGGAGCCTGCCGAGGAGAGCCAAGACGGGTCCTGTGCAACTCAGTTTCCAAGATTCTGCAGGAAAAAATCCCAACCATGACTTGACAAAGAGTTCTTGCCTCAAGGCTCAGGCCCAAGGAAGACACCTGAGGGATGACACTGCAGTGGTCAGACAGACGCTTGGAAGGTCTGAGACAAGGCAAAGGCAGCACGCCGCCCGCCACGCGGACCCCGCCTGGGCCGAGCTGCCGTAAGCTCGTCGGATGTTAACCTGTGCTGACTCGAAGCTGAAAATTAAGTATCACGTCTGAAGAAAGTTACAAAGAGAACAAATGTTTAAAAAAAAACGACACTCAACTCCCAAGAAGAAAAATCTCACACTATATAAAGAAAACAAAATTCCTAGAACATTCCCTCTGACACTAGTTTTATTATTATTTTTGTTTCAGCAAACAAACAGTGTTAAAATTAACTGAAAAGATTTTAATTGAAGACGAAGTCCACACCCTGAAGCTGGTGGCAGACAAGACAGACACCCAGCGAGAACACGCGTCAGGCGTGCGCTCGCAGTGCTCCGGGCACGGCGGCGCGTAGAGCGTGCCGTGCCCATCAGACAGGGCGCGGGCTCGCCAGGCAGCGGCCCACAGGAAGCAGCCGGGAGCGCCGGACAAACTGAAAAGCAAACACCTAAAAGCCCTGCAACAGGCACAAGCTGGGGAGCCCGCGCCTGGAAGAAGGGGAGGCCCCGGGGGCTGCTCTCAGGGCATGCCGCCCGGCGGGGGGCCCCCGCTGTGATCGCCAGCATGTGGCTGCCCTGAGCCGTCAGCGCTGGGGCCCCACCTCCCTGAACAGCCAGAGCTGGGGGTGAAGGAAGAAAGCCTGGAAAGGAGGCCTCACGGGCCCTGACAGCACGCCCCAAAGTGCCAGCATCGGTCTGAGCCACACGACCTGGCTGCTGCCTGACAGAACCAAGCACCGGCGCTGCCAGAGAACCCCGAGTTTCCGTGACGCAACATTCACCAAGTCCAGGACGCAATTCAGAACTCTAGCCATCCTGAGAAATAGGAAAACGCCACCCGTATTCAAGAGAGAAGAGCCGTCAAGACCAATCTCAAGGGATTCGCCCCTGAAACCGGCAGCCAGGAAACTTACAGGCAGCTCCTAGAGCGCCGTTCCAGGGTGTCAAATGCGCTCAAGACAAACAGAAAGCCAGGAAACCTCAGCAGAAACATGACGACTTTCTTTTTCGAAGCAAACATTCTAGGACTGCAGACCAGAACACGTGACACAGACGGTTTGCTGGGAGTCCTGACAGTGCCCTGGCGGTGACAAAGTCACACGTGCTGGAGGACAGATCTGAAACGAGCAAATGTGAAGGGGCGGGAGACCAAAGAAGAGCGAGCAGAGCCACAGGGACCTCAGCACTGACGTGCACGCCACTGGAGCACGGAGGACGCAGAATGGGGCGCAGGTGTCCAGAATCCCCGAACTTCAGTGAGAGACAAAACCTCACAGATGCAAGGTGGTAAAGCACAGTAAGGAGAATTGCTCCGAAGCCTATCCGTCGTGCTACCAGAAGCAAAGAAAAATTGCTAAAGTGCTAAAAGGTGAAAAAAAAAAAAGAGCGCCCACTCAGAATTCAGTGTGTCCAGCAAAACACTCCTCAAGAATGAAAAAGGGGAGGGTGTAGCTCACTGGCGGAGAGCGTGCTTAGCATGCACGAGGTCCTGGGTTTCATCCCCAGCACCTCCATTAAAATTAAAAAATAAAATAAACCCAATTACCTCTCCTGCAACCAAAAAAAAAAAAGGAAAATTCTGAAGGACAACGGACGTGTCACATAAATGAGAAGGCAGAGAACGCACAGCGGGCAGGTCTGCACCGACTGTAAGAAACACCGAAGCAGCTCACTGGCTTGCAGGGCCCCAGGAGAAGGCTCACGGCTCCCGTGACAGACAAGCACTAGAAATGGTAAAAATCCGAGTACATGCAAAAACACTACTCAGATTTCTTCAAGCAGCTAGGAATGTTTAAAGGAAACAAAACAACGTATTGTGGGGGCTTCTAACACATGTAGATGTAACAGCAATGAAACTTCATAAAGAGCGAGGAAGGGCAGAAAATGGGCCTTTAAGGCCCGAGGTTCTTGCATTTTACACAAACGCTGCAATATTAACTCTGAGTGGACCATGAGAAACTGCAGGCGTAGGTGGTCATCCCCACATAGAGCACTGAAAGACAAGGCAAAGAGGGACGCAAACGCCCTCAGACAGAACTAACACAAAATGCTAACAACTCAAGTAGCCAGGAAGAAGGCAGGAAAGGCGCGCATGGGGCCGCCTGTGGGGAGGAGGCAGCAGCGGCCTCCACGCCGGCTGAAGGCAGAGGCACCGCAAACGGACGAAGAGCCGACTGCGTGCTGCCTGTGCGCTGCCTGCGAGGAGCTGTTTAGAAACGCTAAGCTGAGCGAAGTGAGGGGCAAACACAGCAGGCAGGCGGGCGCAAGCACGGGAGGCTGGAGTGGCTGTGCTGCGCTTTTCCGCAGTGCTCTGAGGGACAAAGGGGCACTTCAGTGCGGCAGGAGGGCCAAGTCGTCCGGAAGCCGTGACTGTCAGAGGTGCACCCGCTTCACTGCCGGAGCTCAACACGCACGAAGCAGAAACTCCCCATAACCAGAGATGCCAGCATCCCCACCTCAGTACCTTATAGAAGTAACAGCAAAGTACAGAAGATCGGAGCAGTGTCACAAGTCCTGTGCTGCCGGACACACCGAGAAGCCACCTGGCCAGCACACGACAGACTGGCCCGCGAGCAGCACGGCGGTAACCGCCGCCCCGCTGAAGGCAGGTCTCTGTACACGTGGAAAAGCTGGAGCGGCACAGGGCGTGTTCTCTGAACATAACCTACTACTGATTTTTAATCAAATGCTGCTGTATCAGAAAACTTCAGATACTTGAATATTAAGCAACCTGCTTCTAAGTAACCCAAGAATCAAGTCGTCAAAGGGGTATCCAAAATATTCCACGCTGAATGATACTACAGCTGAAGCATGCTTGGTGGGCAATTTATAGCTTTCAGTGCTTATATCTGAAAAAGAAGGAAGAAACTCCAGAGCAAGCCAAAGGCAGGAAATGACACAGGACAGCAATCAATGAACAAGGGAGTCTATCCCTGAAAGGACAGAGGATACACTCCTAACGGGCCAGAAGTGAGGCAGCAGCCCGCCTGGCTGGAGTGAAAAGCACTCCCTCGGTCACGGCAGTCTCTGCTGCACGTGAAGAATGCGAGCCCAGTGCAGGGAACCCTGACCCGGACAGACAGCTAGAGAAGTGAACCACCAGGGCGAGCCCCACTGTTTCAGAAACAGGCCTTTTTGTAACAGCCAGTAACAACTATCACAGTTCACAGGTCACAGGTCACAGGTCAGCTGAACACAGCAGAGCGCCACCACCGGGCGCCCGCAAGCTGGCTACTTCAGAACTGAGCCTGTGGAGCACAGGCCGTGTCCTCTGCAACAGGGAGCTAAGGGCACCAAGTATGCTGAGGGACAGTGAGGGGGTACGCGGATGAGCACCCGTGTGTGCACATGGGCACACGTGTGCTTAGATCGGGAAGCCCTGTGGAAAGGCGCTCAGGACTGTCGACAGAACGGAAGACAGGAGTGACCCACGTGCTCAAGAGCCTTGAGAACGGGACGCTACGTGACTCAGACCCAAAGGCTGCTGAATGGTAAACGCGGTCTCTGGTTTCATTTTCAAAGTACTCCTGGCCACGACTGTTGCCAGGCTCGGTAAACAGTCCCAGAGGAGGAAGAGGTGAGCACTGGAGCAGACGACCGTGCCGGGCACGCAGCGCGCAGCACCGTGCGTCACCAGGAGAGCGAGTACCTGTGTGTCCAGCCAGCTCACGACTCACACGCACGTTCCCTTCGCGGGTCTTCAGATTGTAAATGGAGCAGATGTTGTCCAGGCCACCGCAGGCCACGTAGTTCCCGGAAGGTGCATACGCACATGTCATGACCCATGAGGAGCGCAGAGGGATGGCGTGGACCTGAGTGACAGAACATGCGTGAGCAGCTAGCTCAAGTCCAAACATCAGCTGCTGACGCTGTGGTTCTAGTTCTGCCTGCAACTTCCACTGCAAGGGAGGGGACAAGACGACGGCCAAAACTATCCCGACAGTCATGCATACATATGGCCAGTGAGGCAAAGGAGCGGTCCAATCAGAAACCCGGGCCCTCAGCAACCTCGCCTGGAGGTTTGCCGAAGTCACCACCCAGCCAGGCGGGCTCGCAGGCGATGGCAGAGGGCCACCTAGTCCCGGCTGTGTGCTCTTAAGCTGGCAGGGCAGCTACGGAGGCATTTACAAGATGAACCTTCTTTACCAAAGTAACCACACCGGACGTTTCTCTAACTACCCTGCCACACCCCTCCCCACCGCGTCTCAGACCCATCTGTGTCAGCGCCGCAGTCTTCTGCCAACCTTTGGCCTCATCTGGCGAAACACAGCCGTGCTTCCCGTCGTGCCCGCTTAGGCCGACGCCAGTTCCTTCCATTCACTGTGATACAACTTCCGATTACCCTTTTAAAGGCTTAAGCGATACTTCAAAGTACACTGCCTTTCAGCTTATCTCTTGTAAAAACCAGTACGTAAATGAAAAGCATTTCTGTATTTTGCAACAAAACATGGAATTTCCCAGACTGAGCCCAGCCCTGTGAAGAGATGACAAACCACAGCCCAAGTGCGCTGGCCCAGCGGGCGCTGGGTCACACGCCGGCCTGTGTGGCGGCTGCCACCTGACCCCCGTGACTCTGCGCTGAGAACAAGCACACTGCGCCCCCCCGCCCCACGCCTCTGTGAGGGAACCCAGGGTCTGAGCGCCCCCCTCTCCCGCACTGGCTTCTCGGGGGCTGAGCAGCCCTACCTTGTTAGTGGTGTAGCTGTCCCAGATGATAAGTTTACCATCCTGCGAGGCGCTGACTAGGAGCCTGGAGGAAAAAGACACAAGCAAACGTCTCAGAACCATAGCAACACAGAAGCTACGGAGGCAGCAGATAAAAACTCGACTTTACTGACCACCTGCATGTCAACATCACATTTGCTTGAGAAAAAGCACACTTACCTAGAAGCCAGGGAAAAAAAAACCTGTTAGACCAACTCTGAAAGCATGACAAGAAAATACTCCCACAGGTTAACAGTTCAGATTCAAGACGGCTTATCTTCAAGTGCAGACTGGGCCAGTCACCCCCTTGGTCAGGCAGGACAAGCCGACTTCTTAGAACCCTCCTGTTTGGGTCGTCATACATCAGATTTGAGAGCTACAGATCTTTCAAGAGCCAAAGATGGTAGAAAACATTTAGTATATAATTTTCTGTTCCATTTGGACACTCAGAAAGCCTAGATATAAAGGACAAGTTAGTTTTTAGATCTTCAAAATTTAGGGGCCGTTTCTCACCAAAAATATGCCAAGAAAATTTCCCAGGCTGAACTAAAACTGGAATCCACGTCTCCTGGAAACATAAAGGAGGCTCTCACTTCCCACCTGCTTCACACAGACACGACAAAGAGCAGGACTGCGGCTGGCCTGGCAGGAGACCCGCGGCGCTGAGGGTGCTTCCCCTGCGGCTCAGCGGCACCAAGCGTGGGGTCTGTGCCGAGAAGGCGCTCCTGTCTCTGCCGGACTGAGGGGGGAAGCTGCCAACGGAGAGCGTGTCCAGCGGGCAAAGGAATTTCAAGTGAGAGTGAATTCTGGGAACCACAGCTGCTCATAAGATGCCCTGAGGAATTTGCCACAGACCGCTGTTTGCAAGGAATGGCGAGGAGACTCCACGCAGAGTCCCATGCTGAGATACGTCAGTATGGTAAATAAGGAGGAACATTTTTAACTTTAAAGATTTTATCAAAACATAGGTTTCAAGCACGGCAGGCAGAAGCATATTTGGCTCTGTGAACCGATCAGCCTGGAGGTAAAACCACCCGAGTTACCCTGACCACTGACTCTTCTCATCAAACCCCGCGTTCCGCGCACCCAGCACGGACATCCTCGACAGGGGCTAACAGTCGGAAGGAATAAAAACACTTTCAGCACCGCGTTACAAAACTGATCACAGAACTAAACGAAGTGCAGGCCCCAACCCTATTACTCTGTGGGTGCAATTTCTTAAAGGAGCTGCTGCATCTCGGTTCAGTGATGAGCGTATCAGGCCCTTCAGACACTGCCATGCGTCGGAGGGAGATTCCCTGCCGCTCTCTCTACTTCTGAGCACCGGCTGAACAGAGGATCAGAGCCCGAGTACAGAGCTCACCCCAGGAGTGTCACCTTCAGAAAGGTCTCCCGGTCAGACAGCTTAGTATCTGCTGACTCGTCCAAGGGTTAGCAAAATGCTAAGCTGCCCCTCATCCTCCTGAAGGTGACAGGCGACACCCTGTAGCCCCGGCCAGGCGACTGCTGGAGATGGGCTCACGGTGCCCCTCGGCCTTCAGCCAATCACAGCCTGCTACCACGAGGCCCCGCCTGCCAGAACGCAGGGGCAAGGGCCCGGGCACTGAAAACAAGAGGTCAGGCAGAGGTCCAGACCCAGCCTCCCCAGGCCTTCATCACTCAGGAGGGAGGGCTGGGCTCCCAAGCCGAGTCGGCTCGGCTGTGTGTCACTCTCGATTCTAACAAGACTTTGGCAGACTTCAGAGAAGGGAGAAAAATTTAACATTAATTCAAGTGATTGAAAGACTCTCCAGTGTTATAAGCAGTAGGCTTGAATTTAGCAGTGGATTGCAGCGCCCTGATGAGCGCATCATGAACGTACACAGACCACGCACGGACACACGCACGCATGGACACCTCCCCGCGGCGTGTCCTGCAGAGCGGGAAGACAGACTGCCGATCGGAGCACTGGTCTGAGAGCAGCCAGAAGTCACACAAACACAGTAAAATAACTAACGTCCATAAATTACAGCTGCGAGTCATGGAAAAAAGTACACTAACCTCTGTTTATGAAGCAGGAAACAGAAAGATGACTTCAGCAAAATGTGCATCCCAAATCAAGAAAATGTATTTTCTATTTCAAAGAGGCAAGAGTTCACCTCTCCAGAAGGCATGGCTCTCCAGAAAAAACAATCCCTGAAGGGCTCTGGACAGCAGAGGCCCCCCGGTGTCGTTCTGGTTGTCTGGCTGACAGCTGTAAGGCAGAGCCCCCACAGGAGGGCGCACGAGGCAAGAGCGGCTGTAAACTGGCGCCACTGCCGACCACCCTGTCCGAGGAGACAAAGCCGGCACCCCCGCCTCCCCCCGCACCCCTTCTTGCAGGGGCTGCTCACTCACACCTCCGCACCTGCTCCTCCGGCCACGGGCCCTCCCGGCACAGCTTGTGGTGGAACCGCACGAGCACAAAAGCCCGCGTGGTGATCAGCGCTGCCTGCCTCCTGCCCTGCCCTGCCCTCATCGCCCCGGCTCTGGCCGCACACCTGCCTTAGTTCCCCGAACACGGCTCTCAGTCCCTGGCCAGGGCGCAGTGATGTGTCAGCGCCTGGAGCGGAGACTGCTGCCGCCGGGAGTGCACCCCTGGAGGGGGCTCGCGTCGGCCTGGCTGTAGCACTGTCTGCCCGGTGTCCTCGCGTCGGGTCGGGGGGCTCCCACAGGTGGAGGGAAATCCCGAAGGTAAGATACCGCCTGGCCATCATCTACTTCTGATTATACAGTCTAAGGTGGATCGATGAGCGAGGGCGTTTTTTTCTTTCTTTTTCCTTTTTTATTCTTTTTGATTACTGTCGTCATTAAAACGACCTAAGTCAGCTCTCATGTGCATCAGGAACAATCTGGGATCCTGCACAGAACAAACTGAAGATTCAATCTCTTGTCCTGTAGCTGTTTATACTCAACGCAGAGTTTCAACAACGAAGAGGAAATATGAAGCAGAAAATTCCTCTCTGACAAACATGAAGAAAAAAGCTACTGAAAGGAAGGCATCTGCAGGCTCACGTGAGATGTTTGAAGGAACATGTTACAGTCACAGAGTCGCACAGCATCATATTTAATTCTCCGGGTGGAAGAGCACAGGAGAAGGAATTTAAAGCCGCAGCCTCTAAAAGAACAAGCGCCGCTGCGGCTTCGTTCCAGCGCCGCTGCGGGTCGTGAGGGAAAGGGGAGGTGGAAGGGAGGGCCAGAGATGAGCCAGCCGCAGGACAGAGTTCTGAGCAGGGACAGAGCTTCAAGTGGGGCCGGCAGCCACGAGGTGTGGCCCCTCGAGAACCAGCAGCAGGCTTGCGCACGGACGCGGGACACACGAGCCGCGATCCCCGGCTCAACTCAGCCCCAGCACCACATGGAGGAGGTCATGGTCCCAGAGCCAGGGAATCAGGACCACGAGAGGGTAGGGCCAAAAAGCCACGAGTAACAGGCTGGAAGGAGGAAGGGACACGGCACAGAGAGGCTTGGTCACTTCCCCAGGGTCACACAGGCACTGAGCAGGGGGGCAGGGAGGAAGCGCAGAGCTGGCGCAATAGTGGAGCAGATGCGACAGTGCGCGAGCAGCCCAGGTGAGCGGATGCGCTCGCAGACGGGCACCTGGGCGCTCACCTGGCCGGCTCAGGTACCGGCATCTCTGCCTAACTGCCTCTGAACAGAAAGACGAGTTCAGGTTACTGTTCCCCAGAGAAGCAGAACAATCCCCGTGTGCGCTGCGCGGTGGCCTGCTCGGCCCACACACCTGGAATCCGTGCCCCAGTGCATGGCATAGATCTTGGCCAGGTGCCCCCTCAGCGTCCGCCGGGTTCGCATCTGGATTCTTCCCACGGGGTCAATGTTGTTTGTGATCTTAAAAATAAAAGTTACCGCAAGTCACGGTTCTGTGATGACTGGTCTCACCCGAAGGCTGAAGCCTCCTCTCCTCTACCCACCCCCACCCCACCCGGCGGCACCACTGCCCGGGTCCTGCCGGTTGCCTGGGCCTCTCTGCCGTGACTCCTCCTCTTCACCCAGGCCTCTGCCTTCCCTTCGGGGCTCTCAGCGAGGCCGCCTCTCTCCCTGGCTGCCGGGACCCCCTCCCCGCCCCACCCCAGTGCACAGCACCCGGCGCCGGCCCAGAGCTATTCTCCCTTGTCCCCCTTCCTCTCACTCACTGGTCACTGCAGCCCAGCTCCTCCTGCCCCTCCAGCGTAGAGAGCGGCCCTTCCCCCAGACTGCAGCCTGGTCGGCCACATCACGTGATACACGGCCCTGCCTGGGACCAGTCACAGTCACCAGGCTGCACATCAAGCTGGACAGCAGTGGCCCTGACTCTGTGCTACTGTTGCTTATGGTACAAATCTGCAGGTGCAAAGCTGTTCACTGCAGCCCTGACCTCTGCAATTGAAGGCTTGAGAGGAACTGACCTCACCTAAAAACCACTACTTCCTACACTGAGCACGGCGGCACTTGTGAATGAAAACACGGGGGCAGCGGTCTCACCCCGCCGCGCGCGAGGAGAGCTGGAGCGGTTTGCTCCAGAGCGTCCGAGGGGAGGCGGCACAGCTCGACCTCTGCGTCTTACCTGGGAGAGAGTTGCATCTGCACATGCTTTCCTGGCGTCCTAGGAGAGGAGAGACAGGGCAGGTCAGTCACGTCTCAGAAACAGGCACCTGGTCCGCACCCTCTGCCGGGCGTCGGAAGCAAAGGCAGAGGGTGGCCGGCTCCTCCCCGCTCTGACCCCCAGAGAACACTGCAGAGAACCAGCAACACCCAGGTACGCTCCCGGCCTACAGACCGCCCGTCTGCCCAGCACAGCGCCCCCGTGAGCCCAGAGCCAGTGCCGCCTCCCCACCCAGACCTGCACACGGGTCTTGCTCTGCCCAACAGCCAGGAGCTGTGGGGCCCACAGGAAAAACGTCCGGAAAGCACTCAACGGCCGCCCCAGAGAACTTTCCTCCTAGAGCATGTTAACAAGGACTTGCTCCAAGCCAACCACTAGGGCAGACCTCCAAGCAAGAGAGCAAACGACCGGAGACAGGACACCGCGCGCAGGGAAGACTTCCCGGCTGCGCATCTTGCTGTCTGTCTTCTTATCTGTAGAGTGACCTCGTGAAGCGACCTGAAAGCTAAAGAAGACGTTCTCACTGCTCTTAAGTGATCGAAGTTACACATCTCAAATTAGCGTAAATACGTCAAAGCAAGTAGAAAGCCATGTGTGATGAAGGAAGATGAGACAACAGCTTCAAGAGGGTCAAAATTTGAGTGGAGAAGTAATTTTAAAGGAAATCACGACAGTTTCTAGTAAGAAAAGTGTTTCCGCCACGTGGTCTCTGGGCACCTCGCAGGCCCCCGGGGCGCCCCACGCGGCCCTCTAGGTCCAGACCCAGGCGGCCTCACTGCTTGTTATTCTTACTTCATGAAGATGGTGGGAACGTCTGCCAACCCAGATGTGGAAAAACATTCAAATGTAACATTGCTATTATAATGTACCAAATACCAGATTCCAAATTCAACTTTAATTATCCTATTAGAAGTCACTGTGCTTAGTTAATCACACAATTAAAGAACAAAGAATTACATAACCAAGTACTTCTATGCCAGCACCTAAATTGGGGTCAAGAGCAAGTGGGGGGAGACCCAGAGTAGCAGGCCCTCCACCAGTGACTCGTAAGTTCAGTGTGGACTCAGTACTTGTTTCCGAATACCATTCTTCCTGACACTATATACGGCTTCTAATTTTAAAAAAGAGGAACGGGAAAAATTTAAACGGAAAAACTAAACCACGACTCTGAAGCAGCCTCACCCCATTCGTGCCCAGAGATCAGAATGGGTTTCACAACGCCCGCAGCGACAACAGATAACAGGGAGAGAACACCTTCAAACCTAAACACAGGAACTCCAACTGGCTCCGCTTCAGCCAGCGAGCACCTGCGGAAGGGAGGTCAGCGCCACCTCCGAGGCGGCGGCTCCCCTCCCAGCCCTGCGGGGGGGCTTCCAAGGAGACAGCCTCTGTGTGGCTCAGTGGAGACTGACCTTCAGCGCCTCTCGGGTGAACCCACAGAGCGGCCTGCTGGGGCGCTAACAGGGCGGGACTGGTCTGGGGCTTCTGCGCTGTCCGTGCTAGGGGAGGTCACTGAGCACAGCAGGTCCCCTTTCTTCCTTTAACCAGAGGACCACCTCCAGGCCAGTCATCAGCCAGCTCATGTCCTGTCTGGATGCCCGTCCAACATAGGGCAGCACAGCGAGGCCTCATCCCACGCGGGCCACGCTGGCAGCAGTATTGCACACACGTGTGCAGGCCTCTAGCACCCCGGCTCTGCTGGGTCGCAGGGCTCATCCTGACCACCTGTGGGGGCTGCGCCGTCGCGTTCGTGGCGTCTCCCCTCACCCACCAGTAGCCCGTGTGCTCAGGATACGCTGTGTTCAATCGGCATCCCTTCGAGAGCCCATGCTTCCTCACGAACAATCAGAAGTAGGGTGAGACGGTCCTCTGGGGTCTCTCAGCTTGAAAACCAGTTAACAGCGGGCAGCCCCTCAGAGCCACCTACCACCGCTCGTCTGACCTCCTGCGCCCTGCGCTCCGTAACAAGCATGCACCCCTGGGCAGTCAGCAAAGAAGGACGCTCTTGCCCTTCTTTAAGAAAGGCTTCCCGTCCCTACACCCAAAGTGCAACGGACTCAAACAGCCTGGGGCCCTGTGTGCGTGGTGCGCGTGGTGCACGAGGCGGCCTGGCTGCCCTGCTCGGGAGGGCCCGTTGGGCGGGCCAGGCCACGTGAAACGCAGCGCATGTGGGCGGAGGTGTGCGGGCACAGGCAGGACCCCGTGCTGCCAAGACTCAGTAACAAGGAGGGGAAAATAATACACGTATTTCTTAATTATCCACTGAAATGGTGAACCTTAGGATATCTTGGTTCTTAAAAATTGTTTCTACCTGTTTCTTTGTACATTTTAAGTTCCAAATGCGGTTCACATGACAGCCTTGCCCCTAGGACGCCGGCTGGAGCTTTAAAAGAAACGGGTCTAAAAAACGGAGAGAAGCAACACTGATTTTCAGCCTTTCCCCCCCAAATTTGGCTTTTTTTAACCTCTGCCATACAGACTTTCCTCATTTGCTATGAACAGATCTGAACCCACTATTTATGGACAACTTATAAACAACAATTTATTGTTGTCAGAAAAGCAAAATTCTGACATCTATATTCTGGAGTGTGGCTGGACGTATTAAACAAATCTGATCAGAGCAAACCATTAAAAATAGTCTTCCTTGTTTTTACTGAGCTATATCATATCTTAAATGTCAAGATTTGAAAGTCCTACAGTAAAAGGGTGTTTTCTGTTTCCTACAGATCTCAGATGACTCCATTATCTTTTCTCAAGTTCCAGAAAAACTTGGCTAAAATGATGCTGATCTTTCTCTCCAATTACCACTGAGCTTTCTCAACATGTAACAGGTCCTCTAAAAGGAAATGATCAGGCTCCACGCTTACAGTGAGCTCAGAAAAACAAACTCTTGTTTAGACACGTATTGAAAAGTAAGGCTCTGGAGGACGGCTAAGCCTTACAGCCAGAAACAAAACCCTCAGAGAGAAAGCTCCTTCACCCAACGGACACAAATCTAAACATACTGAGGATATTTTTTCTGACAAGCCCACCTCCTTCTCTCACTCTTCATATCAACAGCATGAGAGCAGAAACATCTGCTTGTATTAAATGCTTCTGCAGAGAACAGTCATTGGAGGCACCGCCCCACGAAGCTGGAGCAGCGGAGGGAGGACTCCCAGACCGCCGCGCAGCCCTCTCCAACAGTCCCCGGGCCCCGCGAGGCACCAGGTGGACTCAGCCCGAGACCAGGACGGAAGACGCGTGCCGTCTCCCTGCAGGACGCACGGCTGTGCTCATCCTCAGTCAGATGTGTGTGCTCCGCCTAGCAGCTCTGACAGTCGTAACCACCCTAGGAAACATCTCTTTTCAAAATTAAGAACGAATCAGGCACACTAAAAATTCCTTTTATTGTTGTTGTTAACGCTCTGATCTGTAAACAAGTTTCCTGCCCTCAACTTAACAGTCATGGTGGGGGAGGCAGGGACCATACGCTACACAGCGACCAACAGAATGTCATAAAGCTAATTCCCAAGGTTAAGAAAAAAGGAACAGAAGCACCTCTATAAATTCTACGCAAACATTTTATGTATATTCAAACACAGATGCACTAGAAAACAAAACCCTGACAGGAATGTGCCAGGCCAGACACCTAGACCTGCAGCTGGCACACCCTGGGCCAGACAGGGTCCAGCTTCAACCCCAGACCCTGGGAACAGCTGTGCTGTAACCCGTCTTCCCCACAGCTGGTAACGCAGCACCCGAAATCCAAACGACTGTAAGACCACACGCACGGGGGCTACGTACTCTGATTTGGTTTTTAAGCTGCTCGGCCTCCTGCCGCAACTGGTCAAGTTCACTCATCTTCTGCTCTCAGTGCTCCTGATGCCACCTCAAAGGATCTGAGATCTGAAAGAAACACAGGATGAAAAAATTAATAATCAGTAACTGAGAAATGTAATGAAGCAGGTGAGAAAAGGAAGCTGAAGTTGTGAGGGCTACGGTTTCACTACAAATCAGAGCCCTTTTCGTCAGTATTCACTGGAACGTATACCCACCAAGGGCCGGTTAACAAAATCTCAGTACGATCACACACTAGCTTTGTGTAACGATGACATCTAACAGACTACTCAAAAGACAGCGGTGGGCTGAGAGAGGAAAACTGTGGGACAGCTCTGGGTCCCGCTGTAAACTCAGGAACCAAAGACTGACGTGTACAAGCCAGGGCCAGTGAGTGAGTTTAGGAAACGGGGTACAGCGGCAACCCAGAAGCCACATCACCAGCACCTCAAAACCACAAAACCACATCAATGATCCCGAACCCACAACTGCCCAGATGATGTCAGAATGTCCACTCAGCGATTCCAGAAGGGCTCAGTGTGGTGTCCAGCAGGCCTCTGACTCAGGGACAACATGCTCTCCCACCGAAATGGGCCCTGGGACCCAAGAAGACTCAGAACCACCGCCGGTCCTCATAGGCCCAGCCACAGGCAGAGCACAGCAGCCCTGCCCCACTCCCGGCCCTGCCCACACCCATCAGACAGAGCTGAAGTTAGAGTCAAAACAAAACGGTCCTGTTAAACCAGAGACTCATCTTCCCAGTGGAATGTCCTAACTAGGGGCTGCATCTCCGACCAAGTCGGCTGTTAAGTCGGTCATAAATATGGCCGACGGATCACGAAGCTGAAGATATAATTACCAACATCTTGTAATCACTTAAGAACACAATTAGCTCCCACATGCAAGCGCAGCGCATGCAAGGGCCTCCTTTCCTAAGCAAATACAGAGGGAGATTTTTCCATCACTGACTTTGTGTAGAAGTCACAGGGTTAGTATAATATATGCCAGATATTTAGTTAACAGTAGTTGTTTATTTTTTTGAGACTGAAACACACCTCGGGCACACAGGTCTGCCACTACGGCATTCAGGAAGGCAATCACAGTGATACCGTTTCAGAAATATTTCTGATCCAAACAGCTGTTTCTAAAGGCATTTCTTTAAGTGGGTGTCGGAAACAGGGGGAAGCCTCGCTAATGCAGAATCCCTGGGCCTCGGCGAAGTTAGATGTGGGAGAGGCCACACCACAGAACTTCTATCCTGTGTGGTCAGTCACCTTTTCCACATATTGACTCCTAGGACTGCAGCTGGTGACTATTAACGTGTGAGATGACAACACCACCGGGAGAACACGAATCACTCTGCAGCAGACAGAGGGCTGTGAGGACGCGCTCCCTGACCGCTCATGCGGGGCGGTTCTGGCCCAGTCACACTGCCTGTCCCGCGTTTCTGTCCGTTAAGAAGCGACTTCACTCAGTTCTCCCGAAACCAACATGAAGGAAAGTAACAGCTGATGTCGTCGTCGGGAGGTGCTGGGCCACACTGAGTTACACTGACTCACACCGTTAGTTTTACTCAGCAGACACTCAGGCTCAGCTTAAAAGCCAAACCAGTTTTGAAAGCAAGGGCAAAACCAACAAACTCCTAGGATCCAGGTAAGCAGGAAGTGCTTTCTGAGATGCTACAGGGTCTTTAGATAAAGACCCAGACTCCAGTGTGAGGTGGGATAGCTCCAGAGATCTTCAAGTATTTCTTTTAATTAGATGTTCTTTTTTACATATTATAAAAGAATATATAAGTGTAATCACCAGGCATCCTGTTTCAAACTAGAGAAATTAGTTTACTGAAAACCTAAGTACCCTGAAGATGAGAAGCTCCAACTCAGTTACATCACAAGTTTCAGAAGCCATCCTGACACCTGCCGCTTTGACCTCCATCACAAGCACAGAGAGCAGCACCAGACCCACTTCTCCGCCGTCACTGAGCAGCACAAACAGTCCCCCTGCCTTCTGCCCACAGTCCCCTGTGCTCAGTGTCCACGCCTGAGTCCCAACTAGGGGCTCAGAATCCTTGCTTGTCAGTTTTTAAGAAAAAGGGTATTCATACTCTACCACCAACAAAAATGAAGGTCCTGAAAGAGCCTATCTGATCTCTACAACAACTTGGCATTTAGAATTTCGTTTTGTTGTATGTGTTTTCAGTGGAGGTGCTGGGGACTGAATCCAGGACCCCATGCTTGCTAAGCCCGTGATCTACCACTGAGCTATTCCCACCTCACCCTGAAATTTAAAAAAAAAATGACCTTCTTTATTCCTCACGTCAAAGGTGTATTTTCTAAAGTCTAACCTGGAAAAGAAGCTGTCTGTAGACGGATTCTCGCTGATGAAAGGCCACGGGGCTCTCCAGAGTGCCTGCCTCTCTGGTGCCTGGTGGGCACAGGGGCTTACTCTCAAGCGGCACCGTCCAGGACCACCTCGATGTGGTGCACCCACATCCACGGAAGGACCACCTCCTTCACCTGAGCTCAGGGACCCTGGACTGGCCTCTAGAGGAGTCTGGAGGGACCGCATGACACCACTCTCAAAGAAGGCCACGCAGCCAATGCTCCCCAAAGAGAAGTCGGCACCCCACGGACAGCAAGGAGCAGGCCTGCTCAAACACAGAGCTGAACTGACGGGAGGCAAAACTTTCCAATCCCCACAAACTAGAGGTCCCTTCCGACACTCATCCGTGAAGACACAGTGACTGAGACACACGAGGCACAGACACCGTGTAAGTGATGCCGCTCTTCCCTCCGTGCGTATGAGGACAAACATTCACACTAAGGTAAGCAAGCCTTTTTCTATACACCAGAAAAATGTCAACGGTTATTTCTGGAGAAATTTTGGAGGAATAGTGGGGCAGCTTTCATTTTTCACATTGTCTTATATATGTATTTTTTCCTTTTTGCAAAAAAGTTAACAGGTTATCTGGGCCCTGAGAAGCAGCATTCACAATTTTTCCTCCACATTTTTCAGTGTTTTCTTTTTAAAGCTAGCTAATATTACCTTTTTACTGGATGAACTATTAAATAGCACTAAGAACAATAATGAAGATAGGAAAAAATCTGGAAAAAATGGTCATCATGTGTTAAATGAAAAACAAATTTGTGTGTAATTATTTTGGCTATTTTAGAAGAACAGCAACAAAAATACCGAGTTAAAAAAAAAGACACTTAATAAGACTAACAGCATTTTTGTTAGAATTGTTGGTCATATTTTTCTTTTCATTTTCCAAACACTGGAAATGCAGCATATATGCCCCTTTGATAATAAAAATAAAGGCACATTTTAGAAGTCTTACTTACATGAAGTCGCTTCTGCCTTTCTCTTCACCACTCTTAGTCCCCAGAGCCCCTGCAAGCCCCACCATCAGGTTTACGTGGCCGGGTTCCCTCCTCTCCCCCAGTGCCAAAGCCTTGGCTAAGCCACGGCCACGCTGACTCAGCGCCCGGACCGCCTAATCCACTAAGACGGGGCGCCGAGGGGCTCACGTCGTCCGGCATGACCCACATCTGCCACAGCTTTCACTTGAACTTCTGTTTCGGAAATACGTCTCAGAAATTTAAGGAACTTAAAAGCAAGTATGTAAGGTGACCTGTTCCTGCGCATATTTGTGAGTCAAGGTGTTGACGTAACTTTTTACTTAGGTATTTCACACCTGCGGTACTAGCCATCACTTCATGACCAACAGAGGACACGTCCCTCTAACCAAGGCCCCTGCCCCAGCGCGCCAGTATTCACAGTCACTAACAGGGACACCCAGGCGGAAATTCGTTCACGACAAAATGGAGTGACTGTATCAAAATATAGTGATTTCAAGTTCTGGTCCTGCCACACACAAGGAATCCGACTTCCACCAACTTACTGCACAATGGGAATGGTACTGCCCACACCACAGGCCGAGATGCAAATGAACCAGACAACTGGAAAGGGCTCCCTAAGCCGCTCAGTGACTGGAGTACAAAGTGCACCTTCAGCGGAGCACCCCCTCCCCACAGAC